TCGATACAATATACTGGCCATATGTTTTTGTGTACTCTCCATGTAAACATCTTCTGTGCACAGAGAGATGCCTAATTTATTTTAAACTGTGGAAGTAAATGATCTGGTCCACTTCCTTCATGTTCTTCTTTTTTTTTTTTTTTTTCTTGCAGATGTTATGTATAACGGAGAAATGAATGAAAAGATAAAGTTACTGTATAAGCTGCATATCCCACCTGGTAAGAAATTTAAAAGGGAATGAATACCTCAGTTTCCCTTGAAACTCTTGCATAAAGCTTTTGGGAAAAAGCTGCTTAACGAAGAACCCAATCTTGCTTCCTTCAGCTGGAAGCATATAGCATTTGCATTTGTAGTTACGCTCACTTTTGAAAATTTACTCCAGTCAAAAACCTTTTTGGGTGCAAATTACAGATATATGGTGTTAAGGCTCACATCTGCTGCATTCAGAGATCTTTTGCAGCCAATCATTTGGTTACTGCTAGACAAAATATTGAACTGGAATAACATTTTGGGTGGCTGGTACTCCACGTACAGTAGAAATCTCCTTATCGTATCTTGATCCAGTTTTGATTAGGTGACAAAATTCTGTGGTAGTTTCTCTGTGTAGAGTTTTTAATTAAATGTGCCATTCCTGGCAAACTTCCGACTCTCTCACTGCAGCACCAGTCTTACTGCCATTAACATAATTTTACAGTATGATTTAATGAAGTACTGTTTAAAAACATCTTTGCCCAATTATTTTGCTTTCTTCAAATATGTAAATTTTAAAAGCATAAATAACCATTATGCTGCATTGGAAGGATTAATTATTAATTTATTAATTACATTGGAGGTCAGTAACAAGTGGTGTCCCTCAGGGGTCAGTACTGGGTCCAGTCCTGTTCAGTATATTCATCAATGACCTGGATGAAGGGATAGAGTGTACCATCAGCAAGTTTGCTGATGACACAAAACAGGGAGGAGTGGCTGACACACCGGAAGGCTGTGCCACCATACAGCATGACCTGGACAGGCTGGAGAGTTGGGCAGAGAGAAACCTTATGAAATTCAACAAGGGTAAGTGTAGGGTACTGCATCTGGGGAGGTTATTCCTCCCCCATGCATCAGGACAGGGTGGGGGCTGATCTCCTGGAGAGCAGCTCTGTGAAAAGGGACCTGGGAGTCCTGGTGGACAACAGGATGACCATGAACCAGCAATGTGCCCTGGTGGCCAAGAAGGCGAATGGCATCCTGGGGTGCATCAAGAAGAGTGTGGCCAGCAGGTCGAGGGAGGTCATCCTCCCCCTCTACTCTGCCCTGGTGAGGCCGCATCTGGAGTATTGTGTCCAGTTCTGGGCTCCCCAGTTCAAGAAGGACAGGGAACTGCTGGAGAGGGTCCAGCAAATGGCTATGAAGATGATTAGGGGATTAGAACATCTCTCTTAGGAAAGACTGAGGGACTTGGGTCTTTTTAGTCTAGAGAAAAGAAGACTGAGGAGGGATCTTATCAATACTTATAAATACTTAAAGGGAGGGTGCCAGGTAGATGGGAACAGTCTTTTTTCAGTGGTGCCCAGTGACAGGACAAGAGGTAACGGGCACAAAGTGGAACATAGTAAGTTCCATCTTAACATGAGGAGGAACTTCCTTACTTTGAGGGTGGCAGAGCACTGGCACAGGCTGCCCAGAGAGGTTGTGGAGTCTTCCACTCTGGAGACATTCAAAACCCGCCTGGACGCTGTCCTGTGCAACCTGCTGTAGGTGACCCTGCTCGGGCAGGGGGGTTGGAATAGATGATCTCCAGAGGTCCCTTCCAATCCTGACCATTCAGTGATTCTGTGATTTTTTTACATTTTTTTGATAGCTCTCACAGAAGATGAACGAGACAGCCAGTCACCATTAAAGAATCCTTTACTGTCAACTTCGAGACCACTAGTTATTGGAAAATCGAATGGTATGTCCGAAATGGTTCTCTAATGCATGTGCGTATGAGATAAGCAACTTCCCATTTATTATTCCTACTCCATTATCTCCCCTCTCTGGGTTTTATTTGGAAATGTCTGGATACTCCAGTGACTTGAAAACTAACTCTCCTTTTTGTGTCTGCTCTGCAAAAGGTGACGCAGTAGATTACCAAAAGCAGTTGAAGCAGATGCTGAAGGATCTAGCCAAAGAAAAGGATACTAAAACTGAAAAAGAATTGCCAAAAATGAGCCAGGTATGTATACTAGGGGCTGTAGTCTGTTTTTAAAGAAGTGGAGAGTACTCAAAAATGAAATGACTAAATACAACAGTTCAGCTCTTTCTCAGAAAGCGTAACTTCAGCCTGAGCTTAGATTCAGTCCTTCAGGCATCGAGGATTGGGCTACTCTGATCCAGGGAGCAGTTGTCATGTTAGAAACCCTCAGCCACCTTTCTAGCAGCTTCCTTGCCTCAGGCTGGCTGGTGAATAGAAAGAATTTCAGACTTGCCCTTACCTGCAGCGCAACAGGCTGGAAAATAGGCTCATGCAGGCTGGAAAAAGCTTTCCTCTGAAGCCCAAAGAATCCCAGAGAACGCATTTTGCTGTTCTGTCTTCCCTCAGGTCCCCTCCACCAAACCAGTAACTCCTTTCTTAGCCTGTCACCAACTGGGACTTGACCCATCATAGCCAAATGCCGTCTAGAAGTGCATGAAGTAAGACAGTTGAAGGCTCTCGTCATCTTACCATCTTACCACCCTAATGCCAGTACGGCTTTGTGTATGTTGTTGGCATGAGGGAAAAATGGTCCCATATTAGTAAAACAATGTACGCACATGCAAAGAAAGATGAGACTACACCCAGAATACCTTCTGTGCTGGTGGTGTTAAATAGGTGGTGTTAAATAAATGGGTGGCGCGTAGGTAACCTTTCAGCTCACCAGAACCATATAATCTCTCGCAAAGGCATTACTTGATTGAATTTCTTGAGTTAGCCATCCTATGACTGTATGAAAATTTGAGGCCTCACAAATTTCATGACAGGATACGGAAACATCCTCTCATAGCCCGATAATCATCTGCAATGGGCGATTGAGATAAGGAAGGGAGGAAAGTGTTTGGGCAGGGAAGATGTCGGAATGTTATTATTATGAGAAAAAGAGCTGAGGAAAGATGGAGAGAAACAGCAGAAGGGGAGTTGCCTGCAGGCCTGTGGATGGCTACTTTGGTTGTAATTCGTGCTGTGTAACAGCCACCAGTAACAGGCTGTGTCCCTTGCTTTGTATCTTGCCCTTTGGTCAGCTGACAGGTCCTCATCTCCTTCATCAAGGCAGCAAAATAATTTTCTGCTCTGTTCCCTTTTTGATTTGCAGCACCAAGGTTTCCTAGCATCAGCAGGGGGTTGAAATCCCTTTGCTAGCTTTTTTTTTTTAAAAGCAGAGGTTTTAAAAGAGCAAGTCTGTAGACAGCAGTCTGCCTTCCTTCGCAGTACCATGCCCTTGCCCGACTCCTAGTTACCCATAGCGTTGCTGGGCAGTAGTTTGATTTGTGGCTTTTCATGCTTTACAGAGGGAATTCATTCAGTTCTGCAAAACCTTGTACAGCATGTTTCACGAAGATGCGGAGGAGAATGATTTGTATCAAGCCATTGCCACTGTGACCACACTGTTACTTCAGATTGGAGAAGTAGGACAAAGAAGCATCAGCCTGGGGAGCGGATCAGACGAGTTCACTGAGGACTTGCAGCCCGAGGCCTCCGCTTCAGACCAGGATGCTGTTTTTACTGACACTGTGAAGGCCCCTCACAAAGACTCTCAACCTTCACCTGTGACTGAAGGGGACTGGACTGTCTCTTTTGAACATATTTTAGCATCCCTCCTGACTGAACAATCATTAGTTAATTTCTTTGAAAAACCCTTAGAACTGAAGCCAAAACTTGAGAATGCAAAGCTCAATCAGTATAGTCTCAAAATGAATGGAACGAGCTGCCAGTCACGGGGCGAACATACAAAACTAAACACACAGTAGTAGCAAAGCTGTCAAAAATAAAATGCACTGAAATTATGCCAAAGCACATACTGTAAAAGGCTTTCAGTTAGCAGTGGACTTTTGATAAACAATTTGTTGGTCTGTGGTTTTCAGTTTAAGAGCTTTAAAAGCTAAATGGTGTGTAGGTTTGTTTTGTGCCATTGATTTATTAATTATCTTCTTGGTTTGAATGTAAAAGGAAACATCTGTCTACAGTGTGAAGACACTGAAGCTCTCTTCCGCACAGGGAGAGCAGAGACTGGCTCCAGTGGTCCTTTTTTTTTTTTTTTTTTTAAACGGGAGAAAACACTTCTCAGCTACTGTCCGCAGTTTGTTTGGGTTGCCTTTTTTGCACTAATACCGAAAACTGTTTCAATGCTGGTAATTGAAACTATTTTAATATATTTGATTGTATTCCAATTTGTATGTCTTGCTGAAATGTTAAGTGTACATGGACTGTGCTTCTGATGTTGGTCTGTGAAATCATGCACTTTTCAATAAACCCTTTTTGTACTAGACTTGCATTGACACTATTTATTGTCTCTACTTCATTAAACAAATTCCCTGATCTAGCATGCTCACAATTAATTCACCGGTCAGAACCCCAACGTTTCAGTGTAGTACACAGACCTGCTTGGGAGAAGGGTACTGATTCTGTCTAGACCAACAGGGGACCAAATACAGAGTTTACTTTATCCACAAAAAACCATATATATGAAGTATGATCTAAGTTTTGGTTGGTTTTTTTTTTTTTTTTTTAAACAAACTTGGCCTTAACGTGAAATACCTGTGCAAAGGCTCCTTATTCCCATAGGAACAAACCACTAGGACTTTGCCACCCACATAGGAACGTTTGCATCTCCCTATTCCATTTACGTCTAGCAGAACTCTACAGTATCTTCAATTAAGAAAATTACACCATTGTGTACAAGCCGAAAGAAAGAAAGACGCTTTAAAAGCTTGTAACCTGTTCAACTCAGTGCTTCATGGATGACAGCTTGAAGAGACTGGACAATAAAAAAAAACCAACTTAGGAGTAAACTTTCTTTTTATCCTTTATTGTAATGAAAATCAGTTTAATTTTCATCCACATTGACTGTCTGTAGACCTGCAAAACAAGAAATTGTATCACCATCTATTACTAGGACAATTCCCTTTATGATAAGCAAGTCTTCACAAGAAAGTGCACCTACAGTTTCAAAGCTAGTTTGCTGATCTGCTGCTGGAAGACCAAACTATAGGCAAGTATTTCACCAAATGTTAAAACAGAAACTTCATGTTAAATCATTTCTGCAAATAGGATACTTAGGATACTTCTCAGATGAAAAGCAGAAAAGGCTCGACCTGCTCGAGTTTTTCACATCACAGGATATACGGTATATAGGAAACAAACCTTCAATGACTACGGCCAGTTTTTTTTTACTGTCTCAAAATTGACATGATTATCTCACTAAATTCTGTATTTACTCTTCAGTGCTGATCAGGCAAGCTAGCAGCCCTGTTCTCTACAGCAGAGCTAGTTTAAGCCAACAGTTTGACCCCTTCAGCATGTTTTTAATTTGAATTTTGCATTGCAGGAGGAGCTGTCCCACTTTGCTACTTGTTCAGGAAAAACATGGCGTGGAGGAAGAGAGATGGCATGCAACCGTACCTTTGAATGTTGTGACTGGTACGTAGGTAACCAGTGTGTATAACTTGTTTGGTGAATCTTCATCCTCATTGCGCTTTCTGGACAAACGCACACGGATACGGTAAGGAACATTCCTAAAATGAAGATGACAAATTAATTTTCAATAAAATATGTACTGAAACCTGGTAATTCACAGAAAAGTAAATAAAAGATCTTTGCTCCATGGTTACTACTCCCCCCCTCTGCAAATTCTTAAGCTTTGCATATTTGTGCAAAGACATGATAAGCCAATTCTGTTTCTATCTCAGCATCCTAACGAGCAAAATTGTGTACCTTAGAGATTGTACTGTTTGGCTTAGAGAGGCTATTTTGTTTTTCATTGAAGTGAGGAAGTAAGAGTTAAATGAGGCTTGAGTAAGATGAATACATAATCCAGTGGGAGCTTGAAGTCAGACGTGCACCATCAGTCTACTACTGAGCCAGGAAATAAGTTCTGAAGATGATCGTGAAGGACAGCATGAATATGATCTGCAAGCAGCTGTTAGTAAACAGCATTTCTTACTCACATAGAAAATGGGGGGGAAAACGACGGACCAACCAGTTCTGAAAGCCTGTCAAGAGCCGGAGTACTACCCATTCTGCCAGAAGTCATGGAAATTCTAGCGAGCATTAAAACTGAACCAAGATCTTGCTTATGGGCATACAATCGATCAATATTTCTTCCTCACAAAGCCCACAGAAACAAAATTAAATCACTTAGATGATTTTGTTCTTAATGGGCAAGTCACAGCTTATGGTCCTCCCCTAATACTGCCCAAAACATGCTGCTGAGGGAAGGCACAAAACTATTTGTCCACACCATTTCTAAATTTTCCCTCAAATGAACTCAGGATTTTGGGAAACTCCTGCTCAGAGTGCTTTGCTCCATAGACTATGAGAAAGAACTTCCTCCTTGCTGTACGTTCTCAGAGCAGACTTACTAAATCAGATGGATACAGTAATTAATACATAGGAACTTGCTTTGATTTACTCCCTTATGAAACAGGTCAAAAGCATTTTTTACTGCTCTACTCAGATCATTCGCTATCACACTAGCTGACATTGTGATTTTAGCCTCTCCTGATCCTCCCAGAGGAAGATATTTTACTTGGCATACATTATCTATTCTAAATAGTGAAAAATACAGTTTAAACTCATGGTGGAAAGACAGATGTGATGACTCCCTGCTCCACAGAATGCACTTCTACAAGTTGATACAAGGAAGTCTGGTTAGGAGCTCGCTGCTAAGCTCTGAAGTTACGCTGTCACCTGGCTCAATTGCTACTTCTTCATTGCCTATGACCTGGAACAGCTCAACAGGAAGGACCCAGAACCCCTGCCCAGAACACCCAGTAACTTGGTCCCATCTTCCCACTTCTGTTTTGAAGGAAGGGCTGGCCTGAACACACGACTCCAGGTAAAGGATTGTAAATGTGTCATAGGCTAGACTCAGGAATCTAATTCCTAGAAGACAGGGTTTAAAAAAAGGGTTCGTGCATATCCAGTGTATCACTCACAGTATTAATCCCTACCAGTTAACCTTTTATTATGGTTTAAGACATCCCACTCCTCATAGGAGTCCCTTTGAAGCATCTTCACATATGTCAAACACCAAATCATCTGCCTCTCTGCAGGCGATTTAACAGAAGTTGTAATTTTTTGGCCCCAAAATTACTTGTACCTTCAAGACAAGATTAATGGCTCTATTTAAAACACACCTTATTATGTCTTTGCATAGTATGTATCAATTTAGCATGCTTCAAAACCTAGTTCTGCTCAGATACATTACACAAATCCCAGGTACTTAGCCTGGGACTGTAGGTAGCACTAAAAACCCACGTTTCTAAAAACTGTCTGCTGCAGTAGGGATTGGGGTACTACAGTATTACAACATCCCAATCCACCCCCCCTCCCCAAACCCGCATTCATTCTTTCCTTTGCTTTATTTTTTCCAAGGTAGAATTAAGTTCTTTCAATTCCAGAGTTTAACGAAGCTTTGCTACAAGTACACTAAGGAAGCTGACCAGAATGTAGAGGTGACAGAAAGATTAGTTGGGCACGCAGATTGTAAGAAAAGAAGCATTTGCAAAAAAAAAATGCAAACACTACAAGAAATATACAAATTTTTCTACCCCTCCAAGTCTTGCACCTCCACATACACAGTTGCAAGGTTCCTCCTCACCCAATAAAGAAAGTTGCAGAAACATACCTTATTCCTTTAGCCCAGACTGCTTTGTTCAATCTGGTGTCAATGCGAACATCAGGAGTACCCATTTCCTTCATCGCAAATTTACGGATTTCCTTGAGAGCACGCGGTGCTCGTTTCTTGAAGCCCCTAGGACAAACACAGGAGCAATTTCTTTAACTTCAAGAAACTGCAAGCACAGGACACTCGTTGCAGCACTCAACGTTCTCTAAACATACAATCCAAAGAATTGTGCTGCATTGTAGTATGACCAGACCTTTACTCTGGTAGGTAGCTGCTAACCTTAATGTCCATGCCTAATAGAAACTACATATACTTATGTAGAATAATTTCAGTGAAATTTTGCAACTGCAAGATGTCCTGCATCTTAAGTCTTATTTCTAGTATGTTGACGTGAAAACTTCCTGCAGTTATTACTGAAGAGATCAGAGCTTTCACAGATACTCTAAATGAAAAGTCTATGGTTAATACAAACTTGACAGGACTTGTTCAGTATTGAAATAAACATCAGAAGAACACAACTGATGCTATTCTGAATAACAGCTTCTGCTAAACAGTATCTGATGGTTACCTTCTTCATGTCACCATGACCGGACCGCCATCAGAACTGTTTCTTTGCAAGTATAGCTTGTCTCATGCCTATTGTGGACAGATTCTGCATAATTAGGCATTTACAATGAAAGTTGCAGCTGCAATGCAAGTGTTTTGCTGGAGATATTACACTTACACTGTGATACGTGACTATAGTGTCAGTAGGGTGTAAGGTCCCACAGTGGATTATATTTAGTATTATTTGCACTGTTGATATTTAGTGCTAGAAATCAGGGCTGCGTGAGTGATTCCAAGTGAGATAAGCATTAAACAGAAAGTATTTCACCCCCAGCACTTGATGCCTAAAGAGAAAAAAGGATAACTCCAAAAGAAAAGAGGATAGCAGGATCATCATCGATAGACTGAATTGTTATAAACTATCAACAGGCAAGGCTGCAACATCTTGGTGCCATTTAAAGGTACCACTGCCTCCCATCCTCATCCATAGTTTTGTAATAGTCCACTGTCTCATTTCTCTCCTATTCTAAGCTAACTTCAGCAATGTCACCAATTGTTTTGACTCAGATACAGTTTTCTGCCACTTGACTGTAGCCACACACATACAGAGAGAATCCAAGGCAAACACAGTGTCTCAACTAGTCCTCTCAAGCACTTTACTACTACACAGATGTATGAGGTTCAACATTTTGTCAGGTAAAAAGTTACTCTCATTTACACACAACAAATATTAACTCAAATCATACCACAATTTAGTGATAAGCATGGAGCCAATAATTTGATTACAACAATAATTAATTTCTAAAACTTTCTACAGTGGTCTAAATTTTAAATTTCGCATGGGAAACAATGATGACCTGTGCACAGAGGTAAACAGATCTACCTTCAAATTACATCCAGAAACACCCACAAAAAAAAGAAACACACTTGTTCCTGAAATCCACCTCCAAGTACAGGTCTGCACAGGCAGAGAAGTGCTTTCCTGGGACACAACTGTAGCACAAGGACTGAAATGTCACACATTAGCATCGGTACCAGTTATGACTGTTATTCTCTGCCTTTTAAAACCTACTGCATCATTGTCCAAACGCGACCTTACATAAGGCCAATTTCATTGATAAAAACAAAAACTTACACGCCATGAATCCGCTTGTGAATGTTGATGGTATATTCCCTAGTTACCACCTCATTGATGGCGGAGCGTCCCTTCTTCTTCTCGCCACCTTTCTTTGCAGGAGCCATCTGAGCAACACTGAAAAGCATCCATGCACATGTCAAAGGTAGACCCGACTTCCCTCAGACTTTTCCCCCGTCACCTTCCCTCATCCCCGGCTGCTTACAAGCCATACAGTTCCCACACTTAGAAACTTAAGATTAATTCACCTCCGGGGTCGTAACAGTTGCAGATTTTAAATAGCAACCCTCAGCATCACAAATGCTTTAGTCTCATCTCTCTGACAGGAGCCTGAAACACATCTGAGACCCTTTGGCCGCTTCCCAAGACGACCGGGCTTCTGTCTTCATCCTTAAAACCACCCCGTCCTGCTTCCGTACGCTCCAAAGCCCCTGCCTTTTTCAAAGCGACCCAGGCGGGCAGCTCGGCCCGTCACGGAAAGGAGATGACGGTGCCGGAGAGGCTCCTTCCAGGGACTGTCGGCGGCCTACGGCTGCCTCCTCCCTCGCCATGGCCCAGCACGGACCATA